TCTCAGTTGTTTTATTCTACTCCGTCATCGTTTAAACGTTGCCCAATTAGTTTATAGGCTTATCATAAGAGGAGCATAGAAACGAAGTATTAACCCTAACCGGATGAACTTTGTTGCTCCGGATTCCCTTATGGTCCCAGTGACCATGAGTTGTAGCGTAGTCTTCTGCAAACCAGTAGCCCAACAGGGCCACGTGATAGATACATACAAGCGGAACACTTGTGCAGTTCGTATTAATCCAGTTATATAGCCCCTGTGGTGACCATGTGAATGACTTACACCAATCGACGGCTTTACTGTGTATGAGAATCGCGGTTATTGAATAAACAGGCAAGGTTCCTGTCACACTTATCACAGACCGACTGCATCTGTGTTCCTCGCCTGTTTGGTCAACCCCCTCTTAAGTTCTGTCCGAGATAATTTTCCAGAATTATATTCCCATGTTATGTGTTAGCGTTTTACATTTTCTCTTCTCGGAAACTCGCAGTCGCACCAGAATCTACAGCAAGTTATCGGACACCGTTCCGTCTTGTGGTGTTCACCAAGTTTATCCCATTTCAATCATGGCAAATTCCATCACAGAGTGTGCTTCCCTTGCAGAACCTCACGATGCAGAGTTGGAGGCGCCGCCTGATGGGAGACTAATTAATCTGGATTAGGTGAACAATATTGTCTTACTTTTCCACAATTGTGGGACGGCACAGTCAACCCTTGGTTAACTCTGCCGACTGGTCTTATCCCTTGACAAACGCTTCACACTTGCAAAGTGCTGTGACAAGATCAGGATCCAGTTACTGTTGGCTAGTGGCCGTGGGGATGAGGCGTCCTCTTTGTAATCCGGAGACCACTGGATCAAATCTGCTTTGGTGCTGGTGAATTTTCAGTATCCATAGCCTATGCTCGACTGATATTGCAGCGAACCGTTGATGCGGCGCACCGAGTAACTTCGGAGGCCTTATGGTCAAAACTTGATTCTTCCAATGTAGAACGGCGAATACGTGGTCAAAACATCTATCTTGACAGCTGCATTATCGGTGATATGCATGATTGCGGTTAACAAAGCTAGAACTGCAATCGTAAATATGCAGGGCATGGGGCACCACAGACGCGGTTTCTCCTCAACAGACTGTGTATGGACCCTTTTTTCCGGCGGTATGGTATGACTCCTTCGGTTTGAGAACCCGAGGCTCTTTTGATTGTTGCCTGCGGAGCATCTCTGCCATAACCCGGTATTCATATGTCCACGGCTGTGAGCTACGCGAGTGGGGATATATCGAAGGTAGTTAGATTAGCTCTTTTGATCTGAGGTGACACCGACTAGGTCTGGATGGCTCTAGTAGGTTTCACATACACCCGTGGCCATTTGCGGCAGGGTCATGCTGTATTACCGGAATGACGTTGGCATAAACCTCGTTATGAGCTACAATCCATGCCTTTTACTTGCCGTATATGACTTACTGCCACTTCCTAACTGGATTTGTTAATTAAAGTTTCCCAGATACTGAATTCTCTGTGTACTAAGGTTGATTGTTCTGATGGGCATTAAAAGCTACGAAAACACGACCCCACTAACCGCTTTATTCTGAGACGAGAGTCCGCTGTTTATGGTGATGCATTGTTAGCAGGGAATAGACACTTTATGTGTGGGCGTCTGTTTAGCGATATTAGATTTTACTCTCCTCATTTCCCATTTGTTGACTGCTTCTGCTTGTATGCTAGCGATGCGTCAGTACAGTGTGCCGATTTGTTGCTTCTGTCGTTATTCGTTTATTTGTTGTTGTGCCGTTGAGAGTGTTTTGAATCCACGGATCTTTTCCCCATCCGCACATCCTAGTTCGCGAAACATCATCCAACTGATTTTGTTTATTAAGTCGCGAGTTCTTTTCCCGCTTTACATGCTCATGTTAATAGTGTCCGTTTTGCATCCGCCAGTCGCCATCTTTGATTGCACTTGTGTCGGTTTTGTTCAATCCTCATCGGTGCGCCCAGCTCATGATGTTTTCAAATGCCCCGAAACCTGCTCCAATTTTTCCGTATTTGGTCCCCTCACTGATGTCGTCTGTGCGCATCCATCATGCCCGGTCCTCAGCAGTTGCTCGTATCCTCTCCGCCAGATTGCCAGTTGCCTAGTGTTGCTTCTTCGTTCCCCCCCCCTATTCGATTCATTTCAGTACAACTATTCTTTCTCCCATCCGCTTCATGTGCTTGTGTTTCTCAGGTACATCGCATTGTACAAAGTGAGTACAGAGTACGAACTGGACAATTACGAAGGCACCGCTGTGTTCATAGTGGCCGTGTATCAATACATCATACTCGCCGTTGTATTCTCCAAAGGTGCCCCATATCGACGGTGTATATTTTATAATTGTAAGTTTCAACTTTTGCTATTCTATTATTATGGCGTGCAGATTATACTGACCTCTGCAGTATCGTACGAGCGGACGCGTAGCGCTGCATCCTGCGGTATGTGTCTTACACATGCGAAGTACACACCACAGTTATAGCAGGGCTTGGCCGACTCATTGCAAATTCCCACCACTGCTCTACGCAGTCAATCTGTTTACTTATGTGGTTAGATATTCCTTTACCAGATCTCGTAACAATATGTTAAGTCAGGGAAACCCAAGATGTGTTTTGTTAATTCGTCTTCAGGTTTATGTGCGCAAACCAGCATATGTGGACAGTCACTACAAGTCATCTAGCAGTCGCGGTCAGTTAGATTACAACAACCGACGTCGCAGATCATAGTTTACTAGCATTTTGGGCCATGGTAGGCCCAGCCCTTGAGTGAGCATCCTCCGAACACAAACTTCATTTCATATCGCTGGATCGCAATCGCCTCAGCAACT